GGCTACGGCGTCATCACAGTCGCTCTCAGTGTATGCGTTGCACTTCTTTGCGCCAGTAGCATTCACACACAAGTCGCATTCCCGCACAACCCGCATACACATACAAGTTGTGTGTCGCATTCACGCAACTTGTTGTGTGTCGCATTCACGAACATGTGTCGCATTCACGCACACGTTGCCTTCACTCACTAGTCGCATCCCCACACAAATCACATTCCTACATAAGTCACATTCCCGCACAAGTCACTTTCAGCACAAGTCACATTCCCGTACAAGTCGCATTCACCTACTAGTCACATTCACGTACAAGTCGCATCCACTCACAAGTCACTTTCACGCTCGTCACATTCACGGAAAAAACGCATTCACATACCAGGAGCATTCACACAAGTCAAATCCATACACAAGTCGCATATAAAAATAAGTCGCATACACATTCAAGCTAAAATTCTTACATGGGTCGCATCCCCCATACACATTTAATTACATTACATTTCAAAATTGAAAATCGGGCAATTATAAATATGGGCGCTACTATTGTTAGGATTGGATGTCATCCAACTTTGATAGCCTCCCATCTCCTCCCCAAAACATTGTGATATGTTACTTACTTTGCGGCTCAGCTCATTAATGTAGCTTCGATAGAAGAAGCTTCAATAGATGAATATAGCTACGTTGGAGCTATAGCATCATTAATCTAGAAGAAGAGCATAGAAGCATAGAAAGTAAATAAAGTCCATAACACTTTAATTTATAAATGATCATTACTATTACTCTTCGCCAGAGTTGATATGATGTCAATTAGCCTAAAAATGTCTTCGTGTGAAATAGATTTCTTATCATCATGAAATATTTGGCCGTTGATATGATATGATACGTTTTTCAGCGCCTCGTCGATTATTAACAATACCCGAGATTTATATTTACGATATTTCGATACGCATTTGGTAAAGTTCTTTACTGTCTAAGATCCTTCACTCAAACATAATACTGAGAGTTCATCTGAGGTATTCATTCAATATATAAGCTCTAAGTAAGCAAAACGCTCGCTAATTATTAACAATTGCTCATTTGCACATAATATCTCAAATTTACAGAATGTACACGGAGGACGATTATGTTAACACTCAGCGTTCACACAACTTACCCCGTCTCACACAAATGATTGACAGTTTTCCTGTGAAGGAAACGAGCGAACGGTCACTAAATATTGTATACATATATTCACAAATCTCAATGCATATTTTTCAGGCGGGGTTGTTCGCACCAAAATGAAGAAGAAGAGTTCGTTCTTGCTTTTAATGCGACGCTTTGCCTGATGTTTGGCTCGACGTCTGCTCAGGCGAGGAAATAGACGCGTCCGCTCAGATGACGCAAATGAACGGAAGTCCCCGTGCTTTTAAAAAATCGTTTCAAAAGAAACTATGAACTTTTCGTGGAGTCCGGAGAGAAATATGCTGCTTCAACTATAATTAAGAAACCCATAGTTGGTGCAAAAAAATTATATTTTTTTTAATATTTGACCAAGCAATTCCTGAGCATAGATTTCAACCTTTACTTGAACGGGCTTAATTAATAAGTAACTTTTTTGTTTTCTACGTTCAGTAGATGAGAAGTGATATCGAATTTCGCATCCTGCGCTCTGGGTCCTTCTATGAGCATTCAAAATCATGATCAATTTCTTTTTTCCAAATCGAATCACTTAAACTTTGCAGTAATGAGAATCAATGCCTCCATCTGAGTTATTCGAAGAAACTATTCCGCAACAAAATTCTATTCATGTTGATATGTGACGAGCACACCCGTCTCAAGAATAAGCACTTACCAACACAGCTCAATATTTGCTCTATTATTTAACGTAAAACTAACGATTTATTTACTGATGTCAGACTAGTGTGCCCGGCTTCATCATAGCTTCAGACGAGAAAATATAACTGGAGTCTACACCGATGCTGCACTGCGATATGTTCTCCACAACGCTCTCCACAGGCTGTTGAGATGGAGGAGGTGACGTCACCTGTGTGCGTTGTGGTGGAGCAGGTGGAGCAGCTTTGGTGGAGAGCGACGGTCTCGGGTACGGAGGTGGAGGAGGGGGAGAAGCGGCGTAACTCGGATAATTGGAGTATCTTGGAGGAGAATAAATGGATTAAATCTTAGTTAATATCTTCAGGAAATGCGAAAACAAAAACACGTAGGGATTAGAAGCAAGCGAATGATGGGTGAGATAAAATTTGTTGGATGAGGCAACTGATCATGTAATAATGAAGTATTCATAATTAGAGCACTAAATGCATGCTAGTATGATTACTGAATAAATGTGAGTGCGTTGCTCGAACGACATCGTAACTGCAATGTTTATAGCATGAGTGTGTAAAACTATCACGTTCGCGTATGTTGAGATGTAAACATATTATTTTGTTAATAAATACGGAAGACATAGAGAAGTTGAGTTATGCAGTAATGTTTATTAAATAAAGTTAATGCTCAAAAATGATACCCATAACCATAATGAAAACAACACCTAATTTTTAAAAAAATTTCAATATCATGCATATCGTTTTTTTAAACGATTTGTCAATCAAAGAGTTTATTTTCCGAAAGGAATAAACTCCTAAATCTCAAAGCGCTGAAATATTTCCCGCTAACATAAATGTCTATTGCAATGAACGCCGAACTGCATTGCAGCGCCAGACTCGGCCGAGCCTCTCAAAGCATAACTCCATTGACGTGGAATTGAAACGTTGATACCAACGTGACATGCAATCCCCTGAGCAACGAGATTGGCGGGTGGTTGCAAGCCCTGCAGATTGTGTACATACAAGCTATACAGACTCTGTATGTTGTCAAGTGGCACACTATCAAGCACTAAGTCGCAATAAGCCAAGCCTAATGGCAGATTGGCCACATTTGCATATCATGAGTTGCAGAGTGACGATCATATTACTGCCAGGGAAAAGTGAACTACCACGTGACACTTTTTCTTCAAAATTTACTTTCTTGGGACAAATCTATCTAATGTAATCGTAAAATTGGCAGCAGTGTTAGCGAAATATTTGTAAACAGGTTAAATATTCTTGCTTGCTGAGTGTTCTCTACTCATTGAAACAGAATTTTTAATGCAACATTTCTCAGCGATAATTTTCAAGAGCTTAATATCAGTTTAGGGTGATATGCACGCAACATTTTCACAATATAATTAACTTTTGAAACTACTATGTGAACAATTTTTTTGAGAAATATAAATGCATGTAAAATAAATGAATATTTTTCTCGTTAAGGCATGAGAAGACTTCGTAAAGCGGCTCGTTGCATTTCATCTAATTTTGGCATTTCAGCTATCAAAACGGAGAAGGAAGGCGATTAGTATTTATTATTTATTTTTTCACTAATTTTTCTAGAAAATATTTGTGTTCCTGAAGTCAAATGAAGTAACGTGATATCAAAACACCGGAAATAATTATTCAGATGAAGGTAACTGCAATTAAGTAAATGGATATTAATCTATCCTGCTGTGCTAGAGTCGGCGGATATCTGTTCTGCCGCAAGCTACATTATAAGAACCGAGGCCATCTCGTAATTGTTTCCTTACCTCTCAAGGGGACGGCAATTATCCGTATTATTTCTCATAAGACTTCCGTTATGATATTGCTGGGTGAGATCAGGTCCATTGTTATGCCTCCTGAGGGTGCAGAGCTCCGAGCCAACCATGGAGTTTTTGGTCACTGCTGATGTCATGTGGAACGCTGGAGCGCCGCTCGAGGGCGCCTCAGTCAACGAACCTCGTCTCGAAAGATCATGTCGGGCTACGTCAAGCAGAGGCAAAAAGCCTGACGATTCCTCCTGGTTGTGCAGGCAAACCAAATATGATATAAAATACATAATTTGTTAAAACTTATAAAATATAAAGGCTAGCTGCTGAAGGGATCATCTTTGACTCAAAGAGTTATTTATTGGGAAAAGCAGATCTCGTATGAGTTAATGGTTCATCCAACAGAAAATGACTCCAAATATGTAGACATGTGATTAATAAAGTGGCACTGATCATCTCGTGAGCGAATGATTATATTGTATGTGAATGATACCACATGCGAATGAATGCTTCCACGCGAAGGCAGATGATGGTGCATCAGAGATTTATTTTTAACAGCTTCAAAAAAATGCACAAAGATTATCAGTTTTTCCAATACATGACAAGAGATACAAGAGCATTTAAAATCCGGCTAATGCGTTATCCTGATGTTTCTTTCTTGAGCGAATATGTCTGACAAAAAGTTACGTCTAATTACCGGATAGAAATTAGAAGGTAACATCATTCCTTGAAATGAACGAAATCATTGAAGCTGCCCAATATCATGAAAAATACTTTTCGTTCATAGGCCATTTCTATGAAATTGTTGGGAGCAAGGGAGATGTTGGAGGTACCCAGAGGTAATAACCTTCATAAAAGGGGCGCTAACTGCTAATTTGTGTGGTCTTTGATGGCATCAAGCAGCTCGCTCTGCTTTCAATCTCGAATTTATGCCATTAATGGCTTAGAACAACGGGAGAGAAGAAAATAGGGACGCCAACTTGACAATAAGGGTGAAATTCAGTCTCATTTTTTTCAAGACTTGTTTTCGGTAGCAGGTTTCTAGTTGATTAAACCTAATCATAGAGCACGCTACTCTTACTCAAAAAGAGTTTGAAAAACCTATGTTTGTAGCAGGAAATAAATAGGTTCGACTGTATTTCAACTAAAATATATTTTATTTCCCATCACTCTAACCGAACGCTGGACTTGATACATATATATAAATTGGCGCATTTTACTTACCTCGTGCAAAGCTTCTTGTGAAAACATGGATTCTCGATCCAGAGTCGCATCATCGCGAATCCTGGTAACTCTTAAGCCGTTGTTCTTGGCCAGCAAGGTGTCTTCGACTGGCTGGGCCGTTAGCGCTGTCTCCTGCTGTCTGGTGAGCGAGGCTGAAGCGTTCGGAATGCTGTCCGCGAGCCGCGAGTCCGAAGCGGCCGAGTACATGTTAGGAGCTCCCGTGTCGGACGCCAGGGTGACTTTATCGTGCACTTCACGAGGGGAAAATAGAGAAATTGCTTCAGAAATTGTCGAGAAGTTGTTGTAAAATATAAAATACCGAATAAAGAACGTAATTAATATAAGCAATAATCCACATTCACAATCATGTATTTGTAACAAAATGCAGCGTGTGGATCTAAATTCAAATTCAATGCAACATAGGATGATTTGTGCTTGAGTTCGAAGTGCCGGGGAATTTCGACCGTACCGTGGGGGAAGCGCCAAGTAATAGCTTACCACATTTAATTCCTTATGAGGTGAGATTTGAAAGGCTTTGTATTCTCCGATGAAAGGAATGTAAGTTTTTCGAAATAAATAGAAAGTAAAAAGTTTAAAATGCACAACACTTCCACCGACACAAATGTATATCAGAAATATAAAAAAAAATATAAATAAACTTCGTTAAAGAAAAAATTTTGAAAAATGTTTGCATTTTCTCCGAACCTATAGATAAAAATGTATCATAATAAATTCCACTCTACCTTTCTCTCTGGAGCTTTTCTTGTTGCAAAGCAGAAGTGAAGTGGCGACGACAATGATGAACAGGAGTGCACCTCCACCCCCTATGACCAGCAACAGCGGCACAACGTTCTTTTGGCAGTAAACATACGGAATGTTTCAATCCTCAGTGAGCACGTCGTCAAGTATTATTTTCTATTGGTAGTACCTAAATAGTAAGACATTCTGTTGGCAGTAAACATACGGAATGTTTTGATCCTTAGTGAGCACGTCGTCAGTTATTATTATTATTGAATATTTAGTGAGCAAGTCGCCAATTTTTTATTGTTAAGCAGTAGACCGAGCTCTGATTGCAGAGCAATGATGCATTCAAATCATTTAGAGAAATTAATAGAATTTGATCGATTTATTTTCTAGCGATTTCGTCATTGATCTACCTATGGAGGTAGAATATTTTCTTTATTGCATAGATTAATAAATTTTATAAACATATTTCTTCATCACCCCTATTTTATAAAAAGGTATGTGAATGGCATTTTTGATTGTATGAACAAATTACACAAGGCGATAGCTGACGTGTTTATTAAAAAAACAAAAATATTAAACTCATTCATCTAATGTCGTGATAACATATGAAGAAAACACATTTTCATCTTCTAAAAAAATTGATTGCAAATAATATTGTTATATGAAATCCATCGTGACAACGTTACCAAGTTGATTGAAAATTTCAACTTATGCAGAAAATTATCTTCAGAGTTGACGCTAATCATAAAAAATTATAATAAAAATCCATCAAAGGAAGCAGAAGGACGATGAATGAATATGACTCATGACTGTACCCTGATGGATTGAATCTCTACAATATTTTTATGAAAAATAGTGGACTGCGAATTTCTTGAATCCGCATAATTTCTGCGCCTCAACACTGCGCATCCAACACCCCACTCACTTCCCTCTCTTGTATCCATGCACTTAATTTCCTCATTAGACCGCTTGAATCACCCCACCTATTGCCCTCTCACGAACCCATTTAATCCCTCTGCCTCAAAAGACCGCATCCAACACCCCACTCGTTTCTCTCTCCTGAATCCACTTAATTTCTGTGCCGCAATAGACCACTTGCAACACCCCGCTCACATAACTCATTTGAACCCATTTAATCTCAATAATCCTCACATACTTTCTTCTCATAAATACACTATATTTCAGTACATCAATAAACCGCTTACAACAACCTACTCATATAACTCCTATGAACCAAATTATTCTCTCTGGCTCACCAGATAACTTGAATAAAACTTACTCTCCTCGTTGAGTCGTATGAGTTTCCTAGCGACGCCGTACTCGTTCACCACCGAGCAGTTGTAGTCGCCGAAGTCCGTCTGGTCGGCGTCGTGGATGACGAGGATCGTCTTCAGCCCACCGTCCCGCTGTTGCTCTCTCACCTCATAGCGAGGGTCTTCTGCATAGGCAAGAAATTCTACGTATTGTATTACACTTATCACGATACAATCTTCATGTTGTATTACACTTATCACAGGACATTTTTCGTATTGTATAACACTTATCAAGGGACATTCTTCGTCTTGTATTACACTTATCACAAGAAATTCCACGTATTGTATTATTGTATTACACTTATCACAGAAGATTCTTCGTATTGTGTTACATCTATCACAATACAATCTTCGTATTGTATTTCAATTATCACGGAACATTCTTCCTATATTGTATTACACTTATCACGATACAATCTTCGGGTTGTATTACACTTATCACGATACAATCTTCGGGTTGTATTACACTTATCACAATACAATCTTCGTGTTGTATTACATTTATCACAATACAATCTTCGAGTTGTGTTACACTTATCACAGGACGTCCTTCGTATTGTTTTATACTTATCACTGAAAATTCTTCTTGTTATATTATGTTTTTCAAAGTTCAACAACTCGAATTTTCCAATTGTTTTGCGTCGAATATCGAATATTAATACGTCCAATATTAAATGTTTATTAGGTGTGTCAAACCTTAATTGAGTGCTTAATGACATCAATGGCCCTACTATTCTTGCAATAAGCGAACAAACTTATTGGTGTAGTGTCGGAAGATTTTATGCTTTCTTCACAATTAATTTTAATGTATCATGTATACATTAAGTTCAATGGAGCTCATGGTTTTCGAATGCACTGTTGTCAAAAGTTTCAATACTATCCTTCAACTATACGATAGGTCCCATTTGGAGATGTTCCCATTTATAGAATTTATGGTAATCAGTTTTTAGCTTTAATCCGTTGCGGTATTTAGTCTTGCACTTGAATAGAATGGACCATATGATCTACTTATCTATACACAAATCGCAATTGTAAATCCCGAAAAAATTCCATAACTTGAACAATATCTCTTCCTTCAGTGGTCAGAATTTATATAGAATTTATTCAAATTGAAAATGCTGGTATAACTGATTACCTATATCAATGTAGGTTAGCAATTATATTTTATAGGCTAGAATTGATTTTATTCCAATAGTATATTATGATATAATTATACAATTCAGCAAAAGTTGAACCCAGAGCTGGAAAATCTCTGAGCTGGATATCGATTGTTACTCGAATCGCACATCAAGCCTGAGCTTTACTGCAGATACGTATATAATATGATTATAGAATAGGATTTCAGAATTTGGCTTTTAAACAAAATTTATTGAAGACCAGAGAAGTATTTTTATCCATTAATAGATATTGAAATTACATACTGTAATTACTGACCTATATCAATAGCTATTCCTATTTAGGTCAGAATTAATCTCATTGCAATATACGAGTATATTATTCAACTATTGTTCACCTATATCAATAGCTCTTCCTTTGTAGGTCCAGGTGACTTTGATGGGGCTGGGCACAGACACGGTGTTGCACTCGAGGGTCACCGTCCCCCCAGGGGTGCCCAGCTGCTCCCCCGCGCTGACGATGGTCGGCGGGCCCTTGACGAGGACCCGCATGCGCCCCACCAGGTCCGGGAACTGCAGGTCGCGGTCCCGCACACTCGCCACGCAGCGGTAGGACCCCGTCGTGCTTGGCCCGACCACCACGCGCAACTCGGGCCCCGTCCCGATCACCTGGGCCATAAAATTATATTCCAGGGCCCATACTTTCAAAACTGGCTAAGTGAACGTAAGTACTTACGCTCTATTTTCTTGTCTATGATTGGTGGATTTTGCTCGAAAGGCCGCCAATGATTGGCTAATGAACTTACGATCTCTTAACTTTTTTTGAAAGTATAGGCCCTGGTCTTTGTTGGGTTTAAATCCGTGCGTCTGGTCTACTCAAAGATTGTATGTTCTGTGAGGATTAACAAGTTTGGAGTACACAAAGATTGTATGCTCTGTGAAAATTAAAAAATTTGGAGTACTCATAGATTGTATGTTCTGTGAAGATTAATAAGTTTGGAGTACACAAAGATTGTATGCTCCTTGAATATTAATAAGTTGAAGTTCTCAAAGATTGTATGCTCTGTGAAAATTAAAAAATTTGGAGTACTCAGAGATTGTATGCTCTGTGAAGATTAATAAGTTTGGAGTACACAAAGATTGTATGCTCTGTGAAGATTAATAAGTTTGGAGTACACAAAGATTGTATGCTCTGTGAAGATTAATAAGTTTGGAGATACATTTTAGGATATCGTTAACTTCAGCAATATTAAAAACATCGCTCGTCTTAGGCTGCGTCTCCACCATTGTAAACATGCATATACAGTGATAGATAAAGAAATTCCTGCTATTGAACGAGGTTCTAAGCAAAATAAATGAAAGTCAACTCAATTTAANTTATTTAAAAACAGTGTCATGTCTCCAGTAATGGGAAATTCATATTAAAAAAGGGAGGTTTTTCTATCGGCCAGCCTCACCTTCTCCGACCCATCCTGCAACCATACAATCGAGGGCGGTGGGTTCGACTCAACGTCGCATTTCAGAAGAACTTCATTTTGCATTTCAGCTGCGGCGTCTTGGGGCACACTTTTAAAAACGGGACCAAACCTGACGAGCAAGCTTTGAGTCTTCTTTGATGTGCCGACTTCATTTGAGACCTTAAGATGGAAGAACGACATTTTTATTCGACGTACGGCACTCAGCGCTTCAAAACAGTAAGTTGGTCTGGGTGTTACTCAAAGCAAAATTAAAATTTCGGTGAAGTTTAATTAGGTTGCACATTATGCAGAAAAATTAGTGAAAAAATGACATTAAAGTGGATTTTATGTGAAACTTTCTTTAGCCCTTGAAATATCGGAACTACAACGCAATAAACATGTAGGTACTTATAAGTCACCCAAAATTAAATATAAAAAATATTTCACATCTATCAAAAAGAAGCTCCAAATCGTTTGAAGCTGCTTAATTATTAAAATTAATTTAAATATAAGCAAATTAGAAATATTTATCACAATGGTGTTGTGTATGCACACCTCGCAAGATATGGTATCCTGATGCATGGCTCTCGAGATCTTGTGGAGTAGGAGCGTTGGAGAGGTTTGGTTCTCCACCACCATCCTGTTGTGGTACCATCTGTTCAAACAAATTTTAACAAATTTTAAGGAAATCGGTCCACTTTGTGATGACGAAGTAATTTCATCGAGTAACATTAATTAGAAGCCCATAATTCACAGGTGATGGTTAAAAACCACATTCGACTTCGGGCTCATGCAGTAGCTTGAATACAACTTATATCTTGCAATGAGAATTTTTATAACAGAGGGCGGCTGGTAAGTTATGAGACTGGCTCGGCAATAAAATTCCCCATTAACACGGTTTTCAATCGTTGGCGCTTGGACATTAATTTTAATGTGATTGAATATCAATTATTTTGTTAATAATCTTACTGATATGACTGCACGCGTACGAATCTTTGCCGCTTGTTCCGTACACAAGTTACTTCATTATTCCTATCAGCAAAAGTCAAATTTTAAGATCACAGGAGGCCTAATACTGTGCTTGAGTTGGTACGAATTGCGTGAAGATTGTGATAAATTACAAAATTTAAGAAGCAAATGATTGATTGAATGAAATTTGTTATTTTCCACAACTATTATTACATTTGAGCGGGATTTTAATAAGTTTTATTATTTAATTCAGTATTTATTCTATTAACTCTGGGTACATGCTTATTTGAATTTACCAATCAATCTAATTTTTTGTCTAAATGTATCACCAAAACGCATCACATTGCATAGGTTGTCTTCAGTTACTGTAGATATGGGTGATGAAGGTGCCAAAGTATTGATTAGCGTGGTCATTCATGTTTGATGATTATAATTAGCCGCTGATGCACTGCTTTTTTGAGCATTTAATGTGGTATATAAACCGTTATGAACTGAATTCAAATTTCTCCAAATTATTATTGAACTTGATATTTATGGAAGGAGAAAATATTTGTTCACCTTTCTATCAATTAACATACGAAACGAATGGAAAATTATCTTAAGTTACCTATCCAAGTATTCGCGATACATACATTTTCTATTGCTTGTTTAAATACTTCTTTCATCGGCTGCCATGACCCCTTAATGTTCTATGCCCTTTCAATGGTATACATGAAATGAAATTGTTTGAATGGCCTTAAAACAGGAAACTTGCATTGCAGCATTTAATTTTATCGCAGCATATATAGGATTAAACAATTAATCATGAAAGTTATCGTAAAAATGTATTAAAGATTTTTTTATACTAATTTCAGGGAAATCATATAATATATTAAAAATTACACTTGCTTGTATATTTATAAAAATTTAACTATTGTACCGATCTGCTCATTCGATAGCTCGAAAATTGCTGTAGCTGAGAAATGAGTGGACTTTCCTATACGGCAGCTTGGTGGGTTTGTCCCTGCGGAAATATTATATAGAGCTAATATTTAATGTAGGAAATGAATGAACTCGCCTATACATCAGCTTGGTGGCTTGTTCCCTGCGGAAATATTATATAAAGCTAAAATTTAACGTAGGAAATGAATGGACTCGCCTATACGTCAGCTTGGGCGGGTTGGTCCCTGCGGAAATATAGTATAGAGCTTATATTTAATGTAGGATATGATTGAACTCGCCTGTACGTCAGCTTGGGCGGGTTGGCCACGGCGGAGCAGGAGAGGCGCGCGTCGTCAGCCTCGACCAGGCGCTCAGGCGTGACCGCGACCTGTACCTCAGGCGCGTACCTGATGCGCAGCCTTACTGAGCTGTGCGCGTCACGGGTGAGAAGAAATAGTTATAGAGTAGTAAAGTAAGTAGAGTAAAGAGTAGAGTAAATGATAGATGAATTATTTTATAATTATATTCTTATTTACATAGAGTAAATGATAGATGAATTATCGTGCATCAATTTACAGGAGTGTAATTTGCAATAATTTTCCTCGGTCAGTTCAAAATGCGACGAGAAATTTCAACCACGAACTCTGAAAATCATTACCGGCTTGTGTTTGAAAAAAAAAATCGATAAACTGAGCAGTAAAGTTGGGTATTACTTCTAAGGGAAGTTAAAACCGCGCATAACTTGCAACAAAAGTATAATTTTTACGATTAGGAATGAAACGATTACGATTACACAAACTGAAGTACGATTTAGTATGAAAAAATCCCTTAATGGGGAAATTTTGTCGAATCATTGCACTTACAAGGATCAAAGGGCAGCTGAAGAAGTAAAGTAGTTAAATATCACTTCCCGTGCATACCAACAACAATACGCTTTTATTTGACGGGTCTGAGACAAAAGTAGCCATATAAATGTTGATTTTGCATTTACTTTAACACAATAATGCCTAACATTTAGAAAAACTACGAGGATACTCGTATCTACCAACTTTTCCGCGTACTAAGATATAAACTTGCATGATAGTTGAGTAGAGATGCTTTCAAGCTGAGTTAAAGAAACTTTTGGAGCCTAATGGTGTTATAAGACTCTCCTTACTGGGTCATTTTTTACTATCCAGAAAATGTCGAAAGCCTCATCAATCATAGCCGTTGACGCGCGTACATATGAAACATCTGAGCACGGACCGTGCGGGCTACAGAGTGGACTCTTTACTTCCATAGAAAATATTTTACAACGTCCAGGTGAAGGAATGAATATTTTACTATCTAATTTTTGCAGGTTTTTGATTGCGAGGTTTTACAACCGAAAAAATATAGGGTAATACCTGAAAAATAATGGGGAGGTAACGTAAAAATTATATTATGTTATTTAAAGAATATAGCGTATCACCTAGAGAATTTAGGGTGTTACATAAAATTATCTGCACTGTTAGAAAAATGACCGTTAACGGTATTACCGGCGTTTCAGTGGCCGGTCGGCACGTGAAAAGAAACACCGTTTCACTGTTTCTATTCCAATTTAACACCAGAAATCCGTAAAACATCTGATAAAAACGGCGAAACAGTTTATTTTCACGTTGCGACCGGCCACTAGGATGCCGGTGGGACCGTTTTTTCACTGTTTTTTCTAACAGTGTGTAGGATGTTTTCTAAAAGATATAGGAAGTTACCAAAAATTTCCTGTACGGAGGTAACTAACATTTTTAGGTAAGAAATTACATAAAAGATATAGGAAGTTGTCAAAAATTTTATGTTATGAGTTACCTAAATTTTTGGATCTTATAAATGATTGCCGTACCTGGAGAGCGGTGAAGTGAGCGCCTGGTGGGTGGTGAGGCAGGAGATGGTTGCGTTGTCATGTGTCCTGCGAGGCGTAAAGGACAGCTTCGACGTGACGATGACACGCTTGTTGTCACTCATTTGTTTCATGGTCGTCTCGGCGCCGAGGCCGAGAGGTTCACGTGGGTGACGTTCGTCCACCCAAAGAATCTGCAGGAATGAGATTGATTGGAATGATCAGTAATAATTTTTGATTGAATATTTATAGCAGACATAATAATGTGTATAGTAGCAGTCATTTGATGTAGATCGTCTTATGCAATGGCCATCGAGGCGATGATTAAACTGATAAAACGGCATTATTGTGGCAATTTATTTATGTTAAAACATTGCTCAGTCTTTCTTATATTCAATTAGTCATTACATTTATTATTTTATCGAAATTATTAGTTATTATTAATACTGATGAATACAAGTATCATTTAGTATCATTTGTTAATTGTTTATAATGAAAACATAAAATTATTCATAGTTACTGAATTATTCATAAATATTGAAATTGTTTTAAATCAAAGTTCTAACATATGCACATGACGACTACAGCTGCTCCTAATTGAGCCTAGTCGCGCCTATTGACTAACTTCGGGCGGCGGCTTCCCTCCCTTGCTGGTGCACTCTATGGTCGTGAGTAGACCGGCGGTGCTGTCCAGGACCTTGGGTCTGATCACGGGCGGGTCTGGCGGCACGTAGACCTGAAGATGCACGGTCTTCGTCCTGCGTACCGGGACAGAGACACGAGCTCAAAATTATACGTTCACTTCTAGGGACTTTTTGTTAGCAATATCATGCATACAATTCGCATGCTAAATTCTTCAAGATTGCATGGTGACGGAATTTTATCGAGGTATGCAAACGCCGTAAATAGCAGAAAATAAGCTGTTTAAGGTATCCAGTTTCCGTTCTGAGGGCTGTAGAACCTATTATAGTGTCAACATTTGAATCTAAATTCATTAAGAATCACATCTGGACCGGCAATACATTCAAATATCGGGTGCCGAGTACTGTATAGGCGCTGTTTCTTCCTGTTACGTCAGGCAATATAGTTTAATACTCCTGTATGTACATAATTACGATATTTACCACCAGAGTTTTACCTTATGCCTGGAACACCGTCACTGGCCGATACTTGGCACTGGAAGAATCCATCGTCTTCCAGCAGCACGGGCTGAATGCGCAGGCTGAAGTCGCCTAAAGTTGTCAAAGAGAACGAGCTTAAAAATTAACGGACATCACCGTAGTTGTGCTCGACAAATTTCCACGTATAGATTTAATCTGCGCGGGAGGTTCAACAGGAGCAAGTGATTTTTTCGAAGTATTAGGTTAAAAATAAGTTGCAATAAGAGTACCATGAACTGTTTGATTTTTTACGAGTGAATTAAAAAGAAATAGTTCACTTTTAAATTCGATATCATATACAACATTTTCAATGTAAGCCATGATAAACAATAAAAATTAAGAAAATGAATCACTTTGATTCGTTATATTTTGTGAAAATTTGAAAACTTAAAACATGATAGGCTCTTTTCTGTGCAACTTCAATTAGTATCATGAACTTTTATTCATGGTACTAATTAATGGACAACATTATAATCGGATGCCAAAGTTAATTTTGAAGCTAAATTCTCAGTAGCATTGCACAATTCCTGTTTCAACCTCGTACAATGAGCGCACTATAGAAGTAAAGCAACAAAAATATTTTTTTTTAAGTTTGGTCGAAAAAATCGTAAAAAGAAGCTACCGAAACGCCGATTTTTTCCTTTTTTTGTAGCTTTCCTGCAATCAAGGACAGCCCCGCCAGACTGCCCTCCGCAGAGCTCTACAGCGAACATCTGGGCGTCGAATTCTGTGAACTGGCGAATATATTTTACACCAAGAACAGGAACAGTGAAAAATCTTTTAAAATACGCTCTGCTCATCGGTATTGTTTAGGGAACACCCAGTTTTATTCGTGCCAAAAAAGAATTCCGGTGTATAAATAAATAAGATCCGTGGGTGAATGATTACTATTATCTTTAAGTAAAAAAAAAATAGATGGATTAATCGAAATGCATCAATTATTGGAAAATAACTACATTAATTTCGAAAAAATTATAATACCTTTCAATGAAGCTTCGTCGTCGTTACTGAAATGTTTTGATTTCCTGCATGAATTTAATAGCTCAGTTCGTGCTTACATTACTTCTAAACAGTTTGGAAAGGCAGCGGTTCATGCAGAGTAAAAACACTCGTTTCTGCAAAGTTCCCTTATCACGCTGCGTCATTATCGATAAGATAACCATTACCTTCATCGTCGGCGCCGATCATGGAATATCTCGAGAAGCCGAAGAGACTTCGCTCTGTTCCGAGGCCGAAGCCGTCTTTGGTCCACTGAAGTTGGCCTACTTTATTGACGACCCTGCAGATAAGAAAATAACAAACTTTATTGTTTTTGAAAACATTTTGATTATCATTGAAATTTTTGGGAAATGAGCTGATAAAGCTGATTAAATAAAGCTGATAAATAAAGCTGATTAAATATATCCAAATGAAACCAGATTTCGAAATCGTTATAGGGAACATTTTTCGAAACTGAGATGATAAATTTGTAAATTAATTGAGGATTTGATACTGAATTCACTCTAAACGTATTGAATATCGTTGAAAATCTTAACCGGATAGTGCACATGCGAGAAAATTTCTCTATTGAATTCCAGTAACGGGCAAACTCACCGGCACGGAAGCACCACGATTGATCCGACCACCGCCGTTTGCGGGGCCGGCTCGGTCGCAAATTTCTGCACTCTGTTATCGGCAATTCCTTGCACGGCAGAGCCGCCCATTCCAGGACCCAGAATGTCTTTCACTGCGACGGTAGTGAGGGTATTCTCTACCCGATCGATCCCTCCGGTCGCAATATCCTTATCTTTTTCAGGCAACGCCTTGGTGCCTTTAGAAATCTGATTGACATCGCTTCCACCTGCCTTATCTTTAACTCTATTGACTTTGTCACCATTGGACGGTGACTCTTCCTCATTTCCAAAGACTTCTGGGGATGAGAGCTTGCCCAATTTGTTCCATTTCTTGGCATGACGAGTGTCTTGGAGCTCGACCACCTGAGTCCAGCCTTTGCCGGGCCACGAGTCGGAGCCCAGCTGAGTTTCCTGATCAGCAACCCAGCCGTCCCGCCCTGCAGCGCTGCTCAGACCTCCGACCAAACACAGCAAACACTGTGCCGTCAACAGCATAGCCTGCACAAACACAATAATGTGCCGTCAACAGCATAGCCTGCACAAACACAATAATGTGCCGTCAACAGCATAGCCTGCACAAACACAACACTGCGCCATTAACAGCATAGCCTGCACACAAAAAAACTCTTAACTAACTTTCTTATTTTTCGGATACATACAGGAATTCTCTCCAATAGCCTAACTTTGCAGCTTCAATAACTTATCAACATAATACTGCTCTTATACGAACGTTGTAGAACACACAAGTCTCGGTTGCAAGAGAAACTTTGTGCTCCCTTGGGTAATAGCGAAATATTATTCAATGAAACATGAATAACTCCAACAAATATTGGGCAAGAAACAGACGAGAATCATAATATGATAAATTTCTATCCTGTGATCTATATATGAGATGAATAATCAAGATAAAATTCTTTGCAAAGAAGAATTTTTTACCTCAAAAAATGAGTGTTTTACATATTTTTGCTTTCACTCACTGCCTCAACAAAAGTCTCTCAGCATTACTGTTTATTTTTAGTAAATAACGCCTCTATTTTAGAATGATGATGTGACCCAGAACGATCAAATTCATTCACCTCATAAATCAATACGAGACAAATTCCTGCAGACCACAAAATTATTTTGTAATTGGAGAAGCCGTTCATTCCTTGACGAGTCTGATAACAATAAACTATTCAATTCAGTGCGGCTTTAGCTCGTTAGAAGTCAATGTTGCAGAGGATAATAGTGTTCACAGCGACGTATAAGATGGCAGCGACGTATAAGATAGCAGCTACGTATAAGATAGCAGCTACGTATAAGATAGCAGCTACGTATAAGATAGCAGCTACGTATAAGATAGCAGCGGCTGCCAAATGATAGCGGTGCTGCTGTGCGGCTAATGTGCTCTCCGCACGCAACTTTTCAACTCTCATGAGCGCTCGTAAGCACGAGTCATTCATCGAAAATTTATTTATTCAAGAAATCTCATCCAGAGTGAAATTCATTAAAACGCGAGTGCAGATATGTCGAAATAGGGTAACAATAAATTTATTTTGCTCGGCACGGGGGCTACAACGATGAACTATAAGTTTAATTTCATCAAACTGATAATTTCTTAGGACTCATGGGATGATTTGTGAAGATATACGACCAATGAATGTTCAAATATTCAGAACAGTTTACTTTTTACGCGTAAAAATTTCTAATTACTCTCGGTTTACATTCTGCGAATAAGAAGAAACAGCACAATTCCCAGTTAAATGAATAAAAAATATAACTCGGTACTCACTGCAATGAGTGACAGAGAACGCATTTGCTCGTCGACTAAAACGTGAAGTCACGGACAGACGGACAGACAGACGGACGGACATGACAAGCACAAAAAAGACATTTTTTCCATAAATGAGAAAATGCGCTAAAATGATGAAGAAAAATGATGGCCGTGAAGCTTTGTGGAAATATTTTTATTCGCTCGTGCCCGAATATGACATATTTCGCATAGCCGATGCATAACTCAATTTTGCTTCTTGTTGAGCCTGTGCTTGTACTGAACCCTCAATTGACACCTATTGAAAAGTTCGATATTCACCTCACAAGTGGGACAATCGTGGTGTCAATTTTAGGACCACCGGTTGGAGACCTCATAACTTCCCACGCAGTTTCCTCCTAGATGTTTCCAAGGCGCCCAAAATACGCCTTGTTTTGCTTCCGCGCGAGCAAATTCGTTCTTTTCGCGCTGCTACGACCGGCGTTTGCTGTCGGCTCCTTTGTTCGACCGAGTTTTGTCGATCCGGCGAGACCGTTGCTCGAGTTTTGAGTTTATCATGAGCGCAGTTTTCCTTCCTTTCCGGACCAGGTTACTTGTCGGACCAATTTTTAGATAAAAGTTTCGTTACTTAGGCTTACATTACCTAGAATTTCCAAAATATTTATCAACGCTTGTGCTGAATCTTGTGTCTGAGGATGTAGACACATGCAACTAAACTCGTCTGATCGAATAAAAAGTTCCTGTCAAAGCCGGTAGGATATTTAATACTAAATTCGAAAAACTAAACTAAGTGACTAAATTCAAGAAACTAAAATATACTTTCGATAATAGTGGATTTGTAATACGTGCGTAAATGGCATAAACATTTTGGTTGGAAACGTAATTTATCGGATGATATTCGATTAGAGAGAAGACATCATCCTTAATCTCATTTTCTTCAGAACGCTTGCATCCTCCACTCATTAATTAGATCGAAAAATAAATACCCGCATGGAGACGGCGATCTCTTAAAATATCTTCTCATGAAATGAAACTTCAAAAAATTATGAATAAATGAAATTTTCTAAATTCAGATTTCCCTCATGTTTACCACACATACCACTAATGTTTCAATTTAATGGCCACCCCCGAGGTCACCACATCAATCTAACGTCTCCTTCACATCACACGAACGTTTCCCTCACATAAAACAAGCGCTTCCCTCACATGAAACAAGCGCTTCCCTCACATGAAACAAGCGCTTCCCTCACATGAAACAAGCGCTTTCCTCACATCAAACCAACGTTTCCCTCACATCAAACCAACGTTTCCCTCACCTCAAACTGACGTTTCTCTTACTTCACACTAAGCATTTTCCTTACATCTCACTAACGTTTCCCTCAAATCACACTGTTTCCCTCACATCACAATAACGTTTCCCTCACATCACATTATGGTTTTCACCATTTCTCGCCAACGTTCACCTCGCATTAAACTAACTTTTTCGGGTGGCCCCATGCATTTAAAATATCCAAACAAATTAATGTCCCAAACTCCAAACTTATGTTTCCCCCAAAGCAGCGACTCACTCGAGTTCGGAACTTAAGAGAAGCTATAAAGTTCTAATCTGTTTACACGCTCGCTAAGTTCCTAACTTTGTCATCACACAGCGAAGAAAAGCTTGCGATTCAATTATAGAAATAAGGCTGGCAGGTGGTGCAAAATCTATTTTTGCCTTAACATTCAGAAGTAAATAATGTGCAACTGTAAATTTTTAGTATTTAGAAGTCTTGATCACTTTTTTAATTAATTAGAACAGGATATAAATTTTTTAATTATTTCTTCAGTAACGCATTTGAGATCAACGACCACAAACTCTTTGGAACGGTTGTTGTTGTTTTTTTTCGAGAAAATAGTGGCGAGAAATTTTTTATAAGAAGATAGCGCAAATAATCTCAGATAAAACATTCAAATCTATTATTATTATTAATATCGCTCCGTTACAAAATTTACTCAAAAATACACCATCTACTCGAATATTCAATAATTTAATTGATAATTGGAAGTCGAATGACAGTAATGAATTGAAGTAAACGAAGTCAAAATAATCCTTAATAAACGATTACTCAAATCATTTAAAAACTCAATGTCCTTTGTGGTTGAATTTCATGCTATATTCTTGAACTCAAATTACTACAGGAACATAGTATGTTCGATCGAAGAATAAACTTAATATATGTAGCGAATAACGATATAGATAATGTTATCTTTTATAAATTACCAATAGAGGCCTCGATGGCAAAACTTGATCATAAGCTTTCCAAGACACATATAGTACCTATATACTTTCCATCCAGGTTTCCGCTTCAAACTTAGACTATATGAATATGATATGAAACTAGCTCATTCAGATACAATATATAACAATTCTACTGTGCGAATTATTTCAATAGCAACGACGCAATCTCGCACGGTATCCCAGATGACATGATATTTCTTTCATGTGTTCTATTACTTCACTCAAGTCAGGCAATCAGTCACGTAACTCAAAGCGGAATATTGCAATCCCCGCAATGATTTTCAATTATTCTGAGATTGATGGCAATCTCTTCCTGGCAATCAGAACACCCCTGAATCTGGCCAAGGCAATCGAAGTATAACCAGTGCCTCATCCCGCGCTCGAGTCCATGCATAACTTCGAATATAAATTCAAACTCTTTGTAAAACAGCGAATTAGGATCACAGCAAACATACGGAGATAATATGTTGTTTAAATATCTTTATATTTTAACAGTGTGTATTTGGCGATGTATAAGTCCCATCAAATCCTAAAATATATCGAGGACTCGAGATCTGCTGTCTCGTATATTTTTATATTGAATGATATTAGTTGCTTTCACATGAAGAAAATTAAAAACTGCGACGAATATGAAAATTGTTGCTAGCCTAAACGCAAGCAGAAGTTCGTGTATTAATGTTATGCCGACGTTGTCTTAATGTAACGTAAATATTTATACTTAAAAGATCTACCGATTTTCATGCCGAGTTGCCATCATTTAATAACACAATATATGCATTCCCCGATTATTTCAGTTTTAGCCATTGTGTTGGATACAATGGAAAATTCTCCTTCTGGAAGCGAGTTGTTGTCCTGTGATTAGAATTGAATCAGAATCCCAAAAAATGGCTGCCATCGGCATATTAGTTTACTGGGTTGATTATGGAGCAGCAACTCTGCCATGGAATGACATGCTGTCTGTCTACCAAGTATATATGCAGCCTTTCATATGCGCAGTACTGTTACCAATGGATTTGAATTGTTTAAATTGATGAAATGGCTTCCATTACTATTTTTGTTCTATTTGTTATCCATTATTAGACTGAATAAATGCGTTACTGGAAAAAGCAATGAATCTCCTATTGCAATGGAAGCAATATTGTTTGACTTGGATTATTTCCACTAGGTTCAGCAAACATTTATTCGAAAGATCCATTTAAATTTTATTAAATTTAAAGATCCATTTAAATTTTATTTTTAATTATCACTAAAGCCAATTTCATAAATTGCGTAAAAATGTTTTCTCCATTGAAAAAATCCAACTTATTTTGGAACAAGCAATGACACGCTCCGTTTTACCATCCATGTCTGCCTCTAAAATAGCTTCATTATTGCGGAAAGCTTCCTAAAGCCCGGAAAATGATTATCGACGCAAGCCCACCTGTGTGCAGCTCACAAATTATTATGGTCGAGTTATAATGCCGACTGCTT